TATGGCCCCCTTTTGGACGCACGAAACAAAGAAAGCCCATTAAGCAACAAAATGCAGGTGGTATCCGCAAGCTCCGGAGCTTTGCAAGGGGCAGGTTCGCGATCTCTCTGGGCCGCGACCGACCAATTCCAGAACCGCTTCCAAAAGAAGCCTACCATTTCGGGGGGCCTGCTAAAAACAGATAATGGTTGCAACTGATTAGTAAACCCCCTCCCCCCCCTGCAGGTGACATGCAGGTGACACGCAGGCGACACGGTGACACGCAAGTGACACGCGTGTGACACGCGGTGACACGCAGGTGACACGCGGTGCCACCCCTAGCAATATATAGCATCCCGCAACTAACTTAATGAACAGTAGCTTTTCTGACGACCGTCTTCTTCGAAAATTGTATCTACTACCCCTTGGTCGCAGTTGGAGGGTGCTGGGGAGGGGTTCAATAGTGACGTAGTGTTGGAAGCCCCTTTTCTGGCAGGTTGTTTTGGCTTCGGGGCTGCAGGAGGATACCTTTAATCGGGGGGGCGGGGTTGAAGAGACACGAAAAATATATTGAGTAGGGTTTGTTGGGCGCAGCTTGTTGGCGCTTTACTTTAGTATTGGTGGGAATCTGGGAGGGAAACGGCGAAACCCGCTGTCACCACATAAAGGCGTCAATCCAAGCTACGTTTAGAACAACGATTTGAAGACCAAAAGCCCAAGTTGTGTCTCGCACACTTGAGGCCAGGCTTCTTCTTGCCGGTCTTGGTGCCACAGCAGGCAGAGCCGAGGATTTTGTTTCGCACACGAAACAAACACCGTAATTTGAGTGAACACCAACCTTCATGGCTATTTGGTTGGATTTTTGGACTTAATCTTTTTGGGAATTGCTCATTGGACCCACAAAAAGTTAAACTTTTTGCAAAGGGGTCAACAGCAACCACTTGCAAAGAAGGTCCTTGCATTTGGGATTCCTTTGTAAGTACATGTTTACATGTCCAGCCAGTTTGGATGTATAATTTGTACAGTTGAAGATGCTGAGAGCGTGAATTGCAGCTAAATCAGGTTTGCAGCAACCAAAACAGGAGCGGGGAATAGCGGGAATTGGGGATTGGAAGATTTGGCATTAGCGTGTTTTCAGTTCTTGCCTGGGTGCTCTTCGTCGTTTTGCCCGACTGTTGCGGACATAGACGCAGGCAGGGAAGGTGGTCATGTAGCAATGACCCTTCCTGAAAGAGCAGCCATGAGGATGATTGATGGCACTATCTTCAAACATGCTTGACGCAAATTGGCACAAATCAAACGCGCCTGAATGAACACGATGTTGGTAGAACCGACTTGCATGCTACTCTTGACTATCGCATCCATGGTGGACTTCTTTCCCCAGGAAAAAGGATCACAATGGAACTGGTACATGGAAGGAACTAAAACCGACTCCATATCCTAGTAATACATCTTGCTTCATACAACACAATGCTGCACACCGGTTCAGCAAGACCAGCGTTTGGGGGTTTCTGAGCTTGCGGGTTCCGGTTGCTTGGTTTCGACGGGAAGAGGAAAGTGGACCTTTTGCTGACCCCCCATATCGAATAGCCTTGGACCCGACATGGTGTTTTTCCCCAACAGCTGAAAACTTTGGGGTCTCAGCCCAGATAGGCTCCGGGTAGTCCGGGGCGCCCATGAGGTAAGGTTCCACCAGGGTTCCACCAGGGTTCCACCAGGGTTCCACCAGGGTTCCACGAGGCGAGGTTCTGGAGGGTTCTGGGAGGGTGGGGTGCTGTTGGGGATATCGCCTGAGCTTATTTTTTTGTTGGGGGGGCGCAGCAAAATGAGGGCTTTGCCTTTTGGTTTCGTTTTCCCACAAAAGACAGGCAGAGACGAGCCATACGGGCAGCGTGCATTGGAGCTGGCCAGGTGTACCTCCTGGAGGTGCCTGTAACTTGCATCAACGAGAACGGCGGGACCGCCTCGGCAGCAGCCTCGAGCGGCCCCAGGAAAGAGCGCAAAACACGAAAGGGCCGCGTCTTGTTTGAGGCAAAGAGCAATCTTCGTTTTTAGGAGCCCCCGAAACACAAAAAACGAAAGGGGCGTTTTTTTTTGTGAGAAGTAGAATTTGGGAGCGTTGAAAGGGAAACCAAAAGGACACCAAGCATGAAGCATGGGGAGTTCCATATCCTGTTTGACAAACCCCATGGTCGGGTTGCACGTGTTTCGGCTTCAACCTCCGTCAGGCAGTCACCTGCCTCGGAAAGAAAGCCACATCGGGGCAGAGGTTTGGGCAGTCCTTCTAACCATCCCCAGCCCACGGGTTTATGTTTTACTCGTATTTACATATAGCAAAATAGATATATATATATATATATATATATACACATACATATATATATATATACATTGTATATCCCCTCCCAAAGCCCATGACCCAAGATAGTTTGTGGTATTTACTGTGCTGTTGGGTGATTATACAATACATATGTATATTGTCCCCTCAAGACCATTGGGCTTGAGGTCCGCATCTTCCTGGCGAGTCAGAAGTCCCACATGCCGCTCATCTCGGTCCTGCCCGCTGTAATTGAAATCGGGTTCGCTGCAATCTAAGATGGTTTCCACTATCGCCAAGCCGCCACCCAAAGAGATTTAATTGAATATGGCCACGATACAGCCACTATATAGTCAGTATGCACTAAAATTGTTAGTTCCTTCTTGAGCAGCTACCCACTTGCTGGTCCAATACTGGCGTTTTGTGGGCATGGAGCGAAGAATTCGCCGTTGACCCCAAGGTTGCCACACACGAACACGGTTGTGTGGATCATTGGCCTAAGCTTAGTGTAGGCAAGCAGCCCTAAATTGCATCAACCCAGTGCTGGCTGTCAAGAAGAAGCATATAATTAGTATAGTTCTTCAACTTGGTTGTTTTTGAGCTTCGCTAGCCCAAGGCTGACAAGTTGTGAAAGTGGTCCAAGTTTCGTCAACCCCGAAGTTCAGGATGTCAGTTCCCCCTAATTGTTGGTTTGGATTGGTTTCTTTGGGGAATTCAACGCCTGTATCTTGTGGACGGAAAGGTGGGGACACCCTCCTGATATCAGGAGGAATCCGGATGCGATTCCTTGCAGGCCGTGGTGCAGATGCCCATCTCTGAGCCGCCTTTGTTGGACTTTTGAGGCGCCGAGGGTGTTGGGGAAAAGGCTCTAGCAAGGAACCAAGTCGTTGGTTTTTGTTGGGGGGTGCCCGTTTTACCTCAGTTATCTTAGTTTAAAGAATACATTTTTCCCAGGGGGCATAAGCAAATGGAGGAAGAGGAACTGTGGACACATGCCCATGTTTCGTCTTCTTTGATATGATAGTCCTGTTAGTCGCACCCCAGCCTCTGTTCAGGCCCGCTGGGGAATTTATTTTGCGCCGGAAACCTCAAGCCGAACGGACCGGGTCCTGTGTGCCAAGTGGTTTTCTCTCCGGGCGAGACGCAGCTTGATGAGTTTCATCGTACAATGCACCCCGAATCAGCTGAAGGATTCCAGGATGCTGTCAACTTAAGACAGGGTCAACACGTCGCATTCCGGGCTGCGTGAGTCAGACAGAGCATCCCCCATCATTCCCGGCAATCCCGCAGACGTTCAGGCCACCGGGAGACTGAGTTGCAACGTGAGATGCTTGAGGGCAGATGCGGGCGCAATCGCCTTGCCCTTGGCAGCGGAAGCATGTGCCAGGGTAGAAAGGGAGAGTCCCAATCGTAAATGGGTGTTGACTGTGGCTCATGCGGTCCGCGCTGGTTGCCAGTTGACAATTGCCATCCACGACGGTTTGCTACACTGCATTGCCCGACACGAGTGTTTCACTGCGAGACGAATCTCACAGTCAGCAGTTAGCATGCATGGGCAAGAAGAAAGGAGCGCGGTGGCTTTCTTCAGACATCATTCAGGTTGCTGTGGTGGCAGCTGGGTTTGTTACTTGAAAGAAAAAGTGTCCACGCGCGCAGGTACACGCACGCACATGAAAGCAACTCTAGCACAAGCCCAAGACGCCAGACACACAGTCGCACACAGTCACACGCAGACACACGTGCCGTTTCTCTGTGTGTGTGTCTTTCTGATTTTTAGTGTAATGTTGTTCTGTTGTTCTTTATGTGTGTTCCTTATTTCTTTCGTGTTTATTTCTTTCTGTTTTTTCTTTATTTTGTTTCTTTCTTTCTTTCTTTCTTTCTTTCTTTCTTTCTTTCTTTTCTTGATTCAATCATGTCTTTATTTGTGTCGTGTCTGTATGTTTGGTGTTTATTGTTTGATGCGTTTGATTTGCCTTCTTCTTGTTACTTTCTGTACTTCTTGAATTCCTCCTTGTTTGGGCGCTCGCGTCCTTGTGTCGTTGTGTCCTTACCTGTGAAATGCAGCAACGCATGTTCATGATGTTATTGTCTCAGACCTGCACGTCACCACACCAGCTCTGGACTCAAACATAAAGAGAGAGCAACCACCAGGCCACCCAGCTCTGGACTCAAACATAAAGAGAGAACAACCACCAGGCTCTTCCAAAAGAAACTGTTTCGAGATGCCCTGCAAACTATTGGATCTAAAGAGTGCCATTGCAGACAGCCAAGGATGTGCATGCTTCGGATCCTGTCACACGTTGGCAAACAGGAACTGCCAGAATCATGGCAGCTCGCAGCTTACCATCCATTCCCCTGTTGAACCTTTCACTGAGAACAAGCCACTGCCGGACTTGCTTCTGTTTTGCTGACAGTATTTGCAGTTTCAAGGGATCTATCGTCACTCGGGTCTAGCAACTCGCACATTGGTAGCCCCTAGCCGCTTGCTCGAGATGTCGTGAGCTTGAGGCAAGCGCCTCCCCCCAACAGTTGTGTTGGGGGTTAGCATCTCGAAGCCAACGCACCAACGCCAAAGGGTCCTCGAACTTCAGTGGCTTTGTCTTCAACAAATCATGTTTTCGTTATCCCCCCACCCCCCCACCCCTCCACCCCCCCACACCACCAGCAGGTGTCCTTTTGGTCGCCAACCAGACAATCCCACACA